TAACTTTAAAAGCTGGAAAGATGCTTAATTATGTTAGTTAAATATTTTTTTGTTGGAAAGATGTTTATAGAAAAGCAAGTATATAAAGTAAACTTTATTAATAAGATGAAAAATTGTTGTTACTTAACTTTAGCTCTGGCTGTTGACAATTTCTGTCCTTATTATACTTGTTTGTAGTAGACTTACCTTCCTTTGATTAGACAGAGAAAGCTAGAGAGAGCAAAATTAATTAAAGTCTTAACAGTTAACATTATTCGTGTTCTTAGGTTTTTGTTACAATACAAAAACAGAAAAGAAAGAAATACACTGCGTTACAATAATAAGCACGTAGTTTCGATTAAAGCCGCTGGTTCTCAGCTTGATTGCTTTATCAATATTTTCAAAGGCGAATAACAGCAGAATGCAGTGCTGCGTGAACAGACTGAAAACTGTTGATGATTTCACTCGCATGTGGTCCAGACGTTGAAGGAAGTCCATTAGTTTATACACTGATCGCTTCCAGAAACGTTTTTCTCATTGAATTCTGGAGATAACGACCGAAACCCATAAGATTCGTTATAGAAAACAATCTTCTGTGTGTTTCATCTCTTCTTTTTGGGTAGAGTCGGTATTTTTGCGGCAATATAAGAGCGAAGAAGAAAGATATGACACTTCCAAAAGCGGATGATTGGTTTTTGGATCCTAGAAAGATATTATATTACAATTAGTCAAAAACTAAAACTACTTTGGTCTTGGGAATATAGAGTGAAGCTTAATGTAAATTTGAGGCTGGTACACTGAAACCACGTAGACAAATGCGTAAAAACTGAAAAAAAAAGGAAACAAGAAGACGTAAATGAAAAATTGTTTGCATAAATAAATTACATCAGTTGTTTTCCGCACATGTGACTTTGTTTTATACGCTTCTTCCTAGAATTTGTCTCAGAAGGGACATTCTTCTTACAAATTCCAAATAATTAAGTACTAGAATGCTACTTCAATATACTAATTAAAAATGTAATATACAAAGACAGAAGGTATGAGTGAAGGGAAAAGAAATAAGAAATGTACAAAGAAAATGCTGAACAAAAGAGACAGGCTATTTAAAATGTGAAATTCTTGATGTATATAAGTAGAGTGCATTTCTGACTTGTGACTTGGATTCATGTACAGATTTCGTGTTGTGCAAAATGTTATGTGTAAACCTGTATGAAAAGAAAGCATCACGTTTCTGGAATTTTGTTTCAGGCAGCTTTTACAGCAAGCTATTTCTTTGTGTGTTCATTTGTACGGGAAAATTACACTGCAAAATATAATAAGAGCGAAGACGTATCACTTTGAATGTACTAGCACTGATATCTATGAGTGGGAAGACACCTCGCCTAATATATTGCTATAGTAGCTGTCACAAAATTGCAAAATCATAGCACGTTGAGAAAAAGATAGCTAAGAAATTGCAGCGTAGCAAAGCTAGAAACGGTGTATGGCGACTTCGAGACGCGCGGTAAGGACGGGCGGGCGGGCTGGGTGGGTGAAATGCTTCCGCGGCCTTGAAGCGTACACTTTTATGACGGCTACTATAAATTTATTTTCCATTTAACTTAGACGACAAGCGGAATAAGAACGGAAGTGAGTTTTCATTTAAAGACATTTGTAACTGCTTAGGTTATGCAAAATCTAATTGTAGGATTATTCTGAATGATGAATTGGAAATGCATGTTTAATGGCGTTATATCATTTGGCTGTAGCGACAGAGGGAAATTACGAATAACATTTCACGATAGCCGGTTTTATGGACCGAGACACCTTACACGCCTTCACTTTGAGGTGCTTAGGCACAGGGACAACTTTATACTTATTTTGTGAAATACGTAGGCCCATACAAAATGACATGGTTTCCTTCCCTAATAGTGGATAGTAGTAGTAGTATTTGTTTTCATTAAGCCCGGAGGGCAAATGAATATACAGTATCTACACAGAAATAAAAAGGAAAAACACACACACAGGAGACAATTCTCTGTGTAAAACGTTAACAAACTTCTCACATGTACAGCCGCACTACTCCAGAATAAAAGAATTACCTGTGTAACAACATTCAATGAAGTTTTCCATGCGTAAACCACATCAGGCTCCTTTTTTTCAAACTGAAGCCATTACAACACCGCCCGAGTTGTTCTATAAGAAGCACTTGAAAAAGAGTCATAAAATAAGCATTTCAAGAAAACAAAAGAACAACACATTTCAACCCTCGTTTCTTTATAGAGTTGCCCTCTATTCTTTCGTTAACCCCTTCACCTTCTGTCTCCCCTTCTCTAGGGACCTATCTTGGTACCTTTTGTGCCAAGCTATGGACTGCTCCCAATTCTTTCCATCAACATAGCAGTTTACGCTAGGGAAGTGTAAAGTAGTGGATGGGACAAAAGTGACATAACTGACTAACTAACCAACCAACTAATTAACTGGCTGGCTAACCGACTGACTAACCAGCTGGCTAATAAACCAACAAACTAACAAACGAACTCCACAGTGTAATACTTGAAACAAGTCATTTGCCTTAATGAAATTCATTTTGTATTACTTACAGAGTTACGGGCTGGAAGACCGGGGTTCGATCCCCGACGGAGGCAGAGGATTTTTCCTCTAGCCTCTGTTTCCAGACCGGCTTTGGGGCCCACCCAGCCTCCTCTACAATGGGTACCGGGGGTCCTTTCCCGGGGGTAAAACCGACCTGGGCGTGATGCTGACCACTCACCCCAGTCTAGTGCCGAGGTCAAGGAAGAGAGGAGCTATACCTCCACTCACCCCAAACGCCTACATGGCGTATAGTGGGACAAACTTTACTTTTACTTTTATTACTTACAGGGTAGCATATCATCTGGAAGTGTTGATGGAAATAAACCTTTTTTGTTGTAGACAGTAACAGAGTTGATTACAGCATTATCTTCGCGAATCACATTGAAAACGAAACTTACAAAACTTTATTATTAAATAAATTAAATGTGAAACCATCTTCACTGCTATTGAAGCCACATTTCTGCCAAAAGAAAAAGAAAAACGACTGCCTGACTCGACTCCCGCAAACGAAGACTAAGCCAGACCATACAATATGCACCACCATAGCAATGCATTTCTTGTTACCAGAGTTGCCACCGTCAGGATTAATTTTTATTTTTTAAAGCATGGCAAGAACAGCACTCATGCAATCAAAAGTGACAGACAATGTCGATCTTTAGAAGATAGATTCTACGTGATTTAATTTTAAAATGAAATGAAATTTTCTATATCAGCTTCATGCATAGATGATATTATATTGAAGCAAAACAGATCAAAATCACCTGTCAACATTCAGGACAAACTGTTAATAGACTAACTGACGTTGATGTAAATTTGAGTAGTAGACCCAATTTCGGAAATTAAACGTCCTGTCAGACAAACACATCGTGCGCCAGTTTCAGGCACTTTATACAGACAGCGAACAGCAAGTAACTCGATCATGATTTACAACACACACTGCCTATTTAGCGTCTTAAGTCTCTGATCTGTTCCCGCACTAACTCTTTGTTAACCTGGGTTAGTAGAACCTGAGTTTTTGGGACAGAATATTAGCCTAAAGAATATAAATTTTTGAAGTTATAGTATGCAAACATGAACAGTCGACATTATCGGAATGATTCAGACCAATATACTTGGATCGGTCTGCGCCATAGACCGAACTTATTCAGCGTGAGGATTCCAAGATTCAGTCATTCCCCCTGATGTTTCAAAACAAGGAAGCGTGTAATTAACAATAATGTTTAATATCATTAATGCAGCTGCGTTGAAAGCTAAATTATCTTTACTGTTGATAAATTTAACCAAGAAGCGTGAGAGATGTATAAGGCAATAATGATGATAATAAATATTTAATATGAATATGAAAATTCTTATGGGATGAGTTACAATATGTTTAGGCACTTTTTATTGTACACACTCACTAGTTTACCTTAGCTAGTGTGCTGGTTGCAGCCTGACGTCTATTTTCATCCACACACAGATTTGTTTCATTCCATTGGCTGCTTGTTATGTCAGCTGTGATTCTTGCTTAATCAAACCCCTGAGCTCTCTTGTCACTTAATAGACTTACGTACTAAAGGACAATCGAGCTGTGCCTATGTAATTGATTCCAGTCACGAACTTTTGTCGCTTTTTATTGTGAAAAGCAGGAAAATTTCCGTACCTAGAATTCCTCACTTTGGGACTTAATGAGTGTTTTGGCGGAACCGACTAGCTGACTGATTAGCTGACTGTGTAATTAATTAACTAATTAGCAGAATGAATTAAATTACTAAAAGAACTAACTAAACAGTTATACAGTCAGCTAATTAATTAATTTGTTGACTAAGTCTATAAGGAAGTAACCAAATAACTAGCTATCAAACTACTTTATTTCTTTAGGGACTGGGTAACTAATCAACAAACTAAGTTACTAATACACTAACTAAATGAATAAACAACCAACTGTCAGTAGAACAAAGTTAGCAACTTGGGCCCACAAAGCATTCAAACGTCTAATAATTGATAAGCAAAAAAACATAGCCTCATGTAGTCTCCCTTATTTGACTGTCCTAACGACGTGTTTCCATCTTAACATAATAACTGTGTCTGTTGTGTGTATTTGTACTACATGCATGCACGTAAATAACTTACATTCCTAAACTTACCATCGTATTTCTTTTTTGTGTATTTACATATTGAGAAATAGACCTGCCTCTGTAATATTGTTCTGTATCCACGAGGTCACGGTGGTCTAGCGGTTAGAACGCTGGCCTTGTAATCCTGGGGTCTCGGGTTCGATTCCTGGCGGTGCCCGAATTTATAACTTGTGTTGGGCAAGGCCGTGGTCTAGGCAACACGGAGTTTTCCTCCGGGGGCTTCCCCGGTTTCTCCGTGGCATCCCAACAATTACTTCATTCACACACAGAAGAAGGCAATGGCAAACCACTTCTGGATCATCTGCCAAGAACGTATATGAACAGGTCCCAGTCCGAGAAAAGGATGGAAGGATCCTGTTCATATGGACCTGTCGTCAGACAGAACACTAAATAAATAAAAAAATCCATATTGGCCTTCTGCGTTACAACGCTGTGCGAACCTGCAGGTTAATACCAACGTTTCGGAGAAATGTACTACCTCTATCATCAGGTCTCAATATGGAGGAGGTATGTTTTCCGAAACGTTGATAACTACATATAAAAGTCCACATGGCGTCACAACCCAGAAGATTTAGCACTGATATCTTCAACGCAGTAAAAACCTCAAATCTCACATTGATTATGTCTGCTGGCTTGTGTGTGGGTAGAAATTGTCTTTTAATCTTTGGCATTGCACACTAATATACAAATATTAATATCCGTTTAAAATATGAAAATGCTAAATGTTCACTCCGAAGAAATAACAAAGACAGCAGACATCTGAAAAGAAATACCCAAAGATGGGAGTTAAACACGAATTGAGGATTACATGTGCACTCGTTCCACATATTTTGGGGCGGTACAACACGGATTCTTCCATGGACGGTATGCCCCAAGAATAAAGCAAGAGGTTCATATGAAATACTAATTTGAAAGATGATGAATGGAAATAGGTTGAGGAGACCGTGATATAGAAGCTTAGATAATATTAATATCGATCACAGGAAAAACAAGAATGTGAACTGGACCAAGGACCATCAGAAGGGGGTCTACTGAGTGGCCTTCGGAATGTCTACGACTTTCCAGTTTCGTTTAAGGGGGAATTCCTTTAAACTGAAATACTTTAGAGCCTGCTTGTTAGTTTCTTGTTACGGCGCCTTGTTACTGCGGCAACTTTTCTAGCAGGACTTTAAAGTGTGTTATCTAAATAATACTGCAGGCGTAAACAGATTCTGCAAGACTTCCTGTGTGTGAGTCTTGCGTGGTGAGCTAGTCACGATGCCAGAAATAGCGGTTTGTCTTTTATAGTAACCGTAAGAAACATTTTGACTAAAAATGTCACAACCGTGAACCACCGAACGGCACTGTTTAATATTTAGCGCACCTGTGCCTGTCTTGCATGACTTGAGTTTCGTTTATAAACCCGGACTGATGTTTCTCGTAGTTTATATCACGGCTTCGTAGAGAATACCAGGATACGTTCATCATCATCCTCAAATACTTTTGCTAATATTTTATTATTTTCTCTCTCATTTTACATTTTCCAGAGGAATTTAGGAAAATAATGAGCGACATTATCCGGAGAGCCTGATCTCATCGGGAATGGATATTGGACGTCCAGATAATATATATATACAGGGTTATTCATAATTCCCTGACACATTACAAAACGTCGCTAGACTTCAATGGTGCAATGGATGGTAACATAGGACATGCCAATAAAAAGAGAAACTCTCCAAGTTTATTTTACATTCCTTATAAACACTCAATAACCATGCGCTGATTCGTTGGCCACCCCGATCACCTGACCTGACACCATGTGATTTCTTCTTAAGGACCAGGTCTTTGTACCGCCTCTGCCACGGGATCTGCTTGAACTGCGAAGATGAATCATCGCTGCCATCTCACAAATCGATAGTGACATGCTGCAGCGGGTGTGGGCGGAAATGGATTGTCGGCTTGAAGTCTACCGCGTCACAAAGGGCGAACGCATAGAGCATTTATGAGGTATGTAAAATAAACTTGGAGAGTTTCTCTTTTTATCGGCATGTCCTATGTTACCATTCAATGCACCATTGAAGTCTAGCGATTTTTTGTAATGTGTCAGGGAATTATGAATAACCCTGTATACATATCTTGAGGAACAGAAACAGTCTTTAAAACAATGGCATGTTATATAATTATAGAAATTAACAATTAATTGACGCTGGTGTGCAAACATTTATAGTCGCACGCTGAAAGCCAAATTGCTTTTAACCTCATTATGAGCTGTGTTAGCCTAGCTATTAGTACGCAGTGCTTATAGTTAATGTTCATGCATGGTCTGTAACACAGTGTTCTCTCATTTTGGGCTACACGTACGTATTTTTAAAAAAACAGTTATTTCCCATTTTTATGAGTTATTCGCGGTTTCCTACCTCGTGCGACTAGATACTGACTATTTTAAAAACGCATATTTTGAGTACCAAATTTCATCGATATCTTTTGGCTGCATTTGGTGATGATACACGATTTTGCACTTTGTTTAAATAACGCATAATTATAACTTACTATTAGAGTTAAGCTATTCTTCTAAAGTCTTTGTGGTTTTCTTAAAAGTTGGGGAAAATTCTTCTCAGATAATGCAACCCCGCAACCACATTTTCAATATTCAAACTATATTTCCGTCTTGTTGCTGCAATATGGCCGCCTATCGCTATCCTATGTTATGAGCCTTACTTTTGGCACAAATACATGGAAATTCAAAACGAATCACCCATAATACAGGCATGTCGAATTGTTTGCTGAATGAAGTCTTTTATGCTAGAATTATAGCTCATTAATAGAACTGCAAAATTGATCAAATATCTCTACAACTTTACTTTACCTCTCAGGTTTACTTCTTATATCCCAGGCTGCTGGGCTTTGTTCAGGCCCTATAGACATCCATCCTCAGGCCGTGTTAACTCGTGATTCACACCTTAGAGTAATGCATAAATCAAAGCCTTTGCACTGTGAAATTAATTTTATGCAGTATATATTACGAGAAAGTGATGTGATACCACACGTCTTCAGGTCGGTGGGCGACCATTTAAAGTCATACGGCTTCTTGAATAAGTATTCTAAATTCCCATGTAATAGAGTAGACCAACTTTCGGATCGGTTTCTAGCGAAAAAGAAATGAAAGAAATTGAGGATGAAGTAGAAATTAGAAAATATTTGTACATAACCTATATTACCAATTAGAGAATAAATAATAATTATATAACACGGAAATATTAAAACATGTACACTACTGTGATTAAATGGAGAAAACTGATATTAACTGTAGCATGTAGCTCAGAGAACATGACACAAATATAAAAGGGCACGTTCCAAATTATGCAAAATGTGTTAAGTACACAAATAAATAAAAATAGTACTTACAGAAAATGACCAAACAATCGAACAAATACCAAATCAAACTCACATGGCTGAGGCCCCGACTGACAATCCCGACCAGCTACCTTTTCGCGTACTCGAACCAAACACAAGTTAGCCCTTGACCTCAACAGGCTGAGAATTTCGTCCTCTCCCTCTCTCTCTCTCTGGCTATGCACCCTGCACTGGGGACACACACAGACCTCCTGCCGCACTGCCTCTTCAGGTCAGTGAAGCCTGCATCGTCCAAAGATCGTGAAGATGGGGTAGATAGACCACTCCGAGCCACGAGGCATGGTTCAATAAACACCATTTCTTTCAAAATAGTCACCTATTTAAAAACAGTTACTTAGATGAACGATACGCAGTTTTGCATGTGTTATTATGGATTTCAATGGATTTGGTTAAATATTAACGAGATTTATCGGTGTCATACGAAGAGTAAGCTTGTGAAATTTAACGTCCAGTAATAGGTTTTATAACTGCAGGGAATTTCTATCAAATGCTGAGAAATATGTTATTGGAAAATGATGCCCTATTTATAATGATAGATTAACTAGGGCTTTGAAAATCGAACTCAACATTTTAACACATATAACGCAGAAGTTTGATGCATTGGGTGATATTTAAATCTTGTGTCTAGGATTAATTTATCATTGCACAGGAAAGTAATAAAAATATTAAATTATTTTGTATTGTCCAGAAGTGTAAGAAGAAGAAGAAGAAGAAATAGTCAGTGGAAATGGGTTTTAAGACGCTTAGCCGGAACATGAAGGTAAGAGAAATCAATTTTCATGTAATTAGAAAAGAATGATGGACTTACAAACTTATATTTTGGATAATTTAAATTAAAAACGATCAATACAGCACAAATACGTCCAAAGAATGGCGGACAACATATGGCCGAAACAAATGCTTGAGTGGCTGTTATCAGGAAGGAGGAACAGAGGAAAACCAAGAGTTATTAGAATAAAATAACCAGGATGCAGTTGCAGATGGAAGGGTGAAGGAGAGATAATGATTTGATAAGAGGAAAATAGAAGCTGGGAATCTTAAGACATCAATTACACTAAACAGATACATAAATACAGGTCAGAATTTTATTATAATTTCCATGGCCATACAAGCCACAACTTTCCAAGGCGCTTTCCACTTAAAATTCTGCAAAGACAGCGTATTCCTCTCCAAGCTCATTATAACGTTAACACTAAGACACTAACCTAATAATGCTAGGCACCCTTTATATTTATAAATCACCAAATTATTCTTCGATAATTGCCATAAACTGCGTTCGTATTTCGTTCCTCTTTGATGAAAATATTTTTCTGAGCACTATTTTAAATATGACTAGAAGTATGATAGCAGGTGAGATTTGAGGTTCTCACGGCGGGAAGTATGAAGACAACTGCCTTCCGGAATGTTGCACCGTGTAGTCTGATAGAATTTACAAAAGTTTCAGTGGTGCTTGCTGATTCCATAATAAGGGGCCTGATTGTGGAGCAGCATCTCTGAAACGTCGGTAAATTTCTACCAGACTACGTGGTACATCATAAACAAGAATCATTGGTAGTTTTGAAATTCGGTAATAAAATAACTTTCTGAATTTATTTTTCGCTTAATTTACTTAATTTGTCTACTTATTCACAATTCGATCATTTTTTGAAGCAGTTTTTCTTTTCAGTGTTTTATAGCGTCGAATGTATTCCTTTGTGCACTTCTGTTGAACTTTTTATGGATATTGGCGTCTTCTTCAAATTTCCATGTACACGCCGTACTTTATAGAGGGCCTACTTTATCATTTGTCACTACTTTTATAACAACACACTTACGTCATTCGATTGGTCTGTTATATTTACAGAGTTCTCCAGCCTCGCCATTCAACTGTCTTGTTTTTATCGGTGTAACTGTTTCCATAGCACGTCACTACGACCGACGTACTAAGTACAACAGTGAAACAAGTAAATATCTGTTCCTTTTCACTTTCTCAGATGGACATCAACTCAGGTTATTGATTGGATAAATACGTGAAGGAAAAACATGAAACTGCACAGTAACCAGTTAATTCAAACAAGACTACACATCTATCATTTAGACCAATATTCCATAATCTGTGGATCTCTTGCGTGAATATTGGCGTGTGTCATGATTTTTAGCAAAAAGCTGGCGACGAGGGAATTGTCCAAATGTTAATGTAATATTTTATTTTAAAATCTAGAAAAACTAGGAAAATTCTGAATAATTAGAGGCGACGTTATTAATTACTACTTAACTAACTAATTTTATAACGATGGTTTTTCTTCAGCAGTTAGTAACTATTCTTCCGACAAAAAATCATATATTTTATGGGACACAAAGACCCATTACAATGTGCACATATTCCTGGCAAACTGATTAAAGTTTATACTATTGAACCAATTTTCTCTAAGATTAATTTTAATATTTTGATCCCATCTGCACCTGTATATTTAAATGATCTTGTCCTTTGAGAGTTTTTTGCTATAGAGTTTCAAGAACTTTTATTTAAATTTGCGTTGCATGCCCATCTGTCGAATTTATTTAAATTAAATTATCATAAGCGTGTCAGGCGAAGAGAGAAATTATGATTCTCACTCTGTAATTTTCTTCAATGTTTTATTATTTCATTTATAGAAATCGCAGATGAATTTGTAGACGATTCATGTACAAGTATTTACCTATAAAATAGAATTAGAATAGTTGCAAGTAAAAATAAAGACACCTGGCAGAAAATTAGATTATATTTAAGCAACTACAAAGAGAAAAGAGTAAAGCTAGCTAAGATGATGAATCAGACACAAATTAGCAGGGTAGCAAGAATGGAAGAGAGTGGATATAGTCGTTAAATAGAAGCAAAGAGTATAGAATTAGATTGTTTAGAGTTTATATACGAGGCGCGTCCTCAAAGTAAGTTTCCCACTCGTCCCACAGCTAGCAAACCTTATATTGCGCGAAGCGACTGTGCGTACGTGATAGAGCAATGACGTAGCATGGCGCATGCACTAACGGAACTTCCCGCGTTCTCACA